TGGTTTTTACGACGAGGAAGAAAGACCGGAAAAGCAACTGCCGGAACTTACGTTCTGAGCGGACCAATCACAGCGCTTATGGTCCCCGTCGACGCGACGCGTAGTTAGGATTTTTGGGAGGCGCACGTCAGGCTACGGCGTAGGGGTCTGCGTCTACGCCGTAGCTACGGCGTAGACGTGACGCAGAAGCATAAACTAGGCTTTAGTGGGAGCCACATGTTTGGAGAATTGTTTGACAGCATGTAATAAAACTTTTTTTTTTAAAACTCATTTTTTACACACTGACAGAGAATCACCTTTTAGGTTGGTATGGTGATATTGTTAGTAAAAGAGCAAAGAAAGGAAGGAAACACTGCTGGACAGCCGTGGTGAAGACAACAACTCCCATGATCCCACGCTGCTTCACAATGTTGTCAAACTAGGTTTTTTGTTATCGTTTTGATTGAGAGAGCACTAGTAGCCGAAGGTACACGTTATATAGTTTTTAATTTAAAACAAATGTAATTAATTATGTGTGTTTGATTGAACAAGCCACTGAAAGTTCTTACCACACTCCCCAACCTGGAATGCCAACAGTCTGAATAATACTAATCACCACCTGGGCCATGAAGACGAAGAAGAAAGCCATAAAGTTGAAGGAGCTGTCTGTCCTGCACAGAGAGAAGAACAAACGTCCTGAGTGATGTGATTCAGCAGAAGCAGACGTTTGTGTGGTCAGAGTGGATTCAGCTTACTTAAAGGCCTTGTAGATGGGCCTGAACCAGCACACGTAGGAGCAGGGGGTGAAGAGGATGAGCCACAGGAAGGCCATGCCAAAGTTGGTCGCTCCACCACCTCCGCACATCCACGCCAGGCAGCCAATCAGATTAACAGCCAGTGTGGCACTGTTCACTGTCAGCAACACAGAGGCGAAGCAAAGACGAACAAAACATGACTAAGGATAAAACCTCATGGTATATATACCCACGAGTTTATATAAATCACAATTCAGAAGCTGAATCACTAGGAATTTCAGCTAACACTCAAAGCTACAGTTCATTTAGCACACACAGCCCACAATTTCTACTCAACCAGTACCAAATGTATAAACTATTCTACTTTTATACCAGACTTACGTTCTTGGTTTCAAATGGCAGAACCTAAGTGGTGATAAAAAAGATACCATGATGCTCATGAGAAGATCACAACTCGAAATATTACTATTATCTACTGTTATAACTAGGGCTCCAACTATTGATTATTTACATATTCTTGATTGATGCATGATTAGTCAATTGATCTATGTAATAATAAACATTATCCAGTATATTATAAATACTATCTCATTTTGAAAGAACAGACCAAAATAAAATGTAGCATTTTGCTTTAAAAACAACCCCTCAGCAAATAGCAAATGTGTCACACGAGTGTAAACACAATATTTCAAGCTCCGCAAAAAAATGCTACAGAGAATGGAAAACATAGTTGAGTGTGCCCTGTGGTGAGACCAGTCAGTCTGGTCCCACAGCTTTACTGGACTGTATGACTCTCATAATATTTAGGGTAAAACAAAGTGACATGAGAGATGAGAAGCCGTGCACAGGTTAACAGCTCATGTAACCACACAAATCAAACCTGTGAGCCAGTAGCTGGCACACAAGCGCTAACTGCAGGCACACTTACAGATCCACAGGTAGTAGAGCCTCTTGCACATGGTGCGACGCTGGTCTGGGATCTCATTGAAGTCTTGGTAGAAGCATGGCTTGAGGGGGATGAATCGAGGCAGGGGGGGGAAGTTGTTTTCTACGATACAAAGGCACAGTTTAGCACCCCCGCCCACACACGCTGAATTCACATGTAGTCATGATAGCTGAATGGGGGGATTACAACTGAGCCTTATACACAGGTTGATTCTGCACTGTCCAAACACCTACATCACATGCATGCAGCAGCTGAACAGGAAGGGAATCTTACCTGCCATAATGACCGCTCAGTATTTTCCTCCACTTGCAAACAGACTCGCAATCTTCAACACCAGCTGCCTTGAAAACCAGACTGCAAACAACAGAGCTGTTTTATTAAGTGCACATTTATTTCCTTGTTAGCCAACAGGCCACAGTCCTATAGGCCTCCTCCCTGTGGAGCACCATGCACACTGTCTTCACTACAGTACACGACATTGAATCCCCTTATGATTTGATCAGAGGTGGTGCCCAATCCTTTGAGGGCATCCACACATCATGGAGCATCATTGATTGTGTCGACATGATGAAGGTGGGTTTCTCCACCATATATTACAGCTGTGTGGGTCTGTGTGCGCTCACTGTGGCCTTGTCGTGATTCCCATTCATCACCTATGTGGGTAAAATAGGCGTGATGCGGGCCTATAGAGATTACAGACAGCACAATACATTTGCGATGTTAGTTTATCCCCTATCACCTCCGAATGATTATAATCAACTCCTCTACAAGTCATTTTGATTGTGTTTGCAAACCGCTTGTCAGTGCTTGTGATGGAGGATGTGGCAGCAGCTCTGAAGGGCATCATTCCCCCACAAAAAACAGAGCAACCTCTGCCACAACCAAACGCGCTGATATCGGTAGATGTAATGCACAGTGATCCGAGCATTGTCCGGAATGTGTGTTTCTCCGGGAGGACGGCAGAGATGCTGCGTTAGTGCATCGTGATCTCACAGACGACGGAGGAGCGTCCTTCAGCCTGTGCGACACGGTGCCGCCGCCGCCGCCTCCTCCTCTTCTCCATCAGCATCCGGACAAAGATCGTCGCAAACACAGACTTGGATGTTTTACTGAAGCCAGATAATCTTTTTTTTTTAACACTCTGATTTCCCTGCCCCCCCCCCGCCCTCTCTCTCTCTCTCTTTTCTCCCTCGATGCAGTGTAATGAATGAGAAATGGTAAAAACGTCTTACCGCCCGATCAGTGCCACAATGTCGCCTCTTCCCCTGTTCGTTTAAAAAGCATCCTACGGATTCAAACGAGAGGAACGTGGCGCTCGATGAGACGAATCAAGTCTTTATCCTCAGATGATGATGGAGGGTCAAGAGTAAGAGGCGGTCACGTGACGTCCTTTTCTTTCACGCACACATCTCCCCGCCAGGGTGGGAGCATAGGGGCGGGGCTCCGAGAAACATAACAAGCGATTTGTTGCCGGTGAAAACCGACCAATCAGAGCAGAAGAATTTCAACAAACTCCGCCCCCTCGGTGATGCTGTCCACAGTGCTGAAAAAGAAGAGGCCTCAAATGGACTGATCTGATTGGCTGCCTGTTAGCTACTATTAAATATACCACTGTAACTCACCGTTGACATTAACGTATGGTGTATTTAATATATTCATATATGGTGTTCATATTCATGGGTACTTATTATTATCATATTACTGCTTTTATGTGTTCAAGTGATCATGTGACATAGTTCTTTATTTATTCATTTAATTTGAACACTACCTTGTTTCTGATCATATCACAACTACAACTAGGAAAACACAACAACAAACACAACAACGTTTCACAAAATACAATAGCAACCTCTCAGCACATTCTTCTGCCAAGGTCTAATATACCTCTTGTGAAACTATAGATCTTGATTTGTTTATTATTATTTGGATCACCTAAATATTCCTGATTGTTTTCATCAAGATCCATCATTGATTAGCTGAGAAATCGAAATGTTGAGAAACACCGTATCACACAATGTTAAGAAAAGTGAAGAAAACTCCTGGATCTGCCCTCTGATCCAGATCCACACAAAAATGTAATGAATGCTTCCCTGACTGACACCACATCCTTCCACCAAGTTTCATGATAATCTATGAAGTATAGTTTTCACATAACACAGACAAACATATAACCTAAGGTAAGATCATTTTATGTGATTTGATGTTGTGGTTTCTCATTCATTATGTTTTTGATTTGACGTGATTTGTACTTCAGAGCCACCTTATTTACAAGATGTTTGAAAGATCTGCTGTGATGGAGAAGAATGTCACTGTGATACAAGAGGGGAAACCCTGTTCACCAGGATGTTTACATGTATAAACAAGTTACATCAGCGTTTCTGCAGAGTTTCTTTTATAAAACACACAATGAAATTCAAAACCTGTTTCATGATCATACAGGTGTGACAGTATATGAAAAATAAAACCAGCAGGGAAATAGTAGCATTGAATGAATTTCCAAGTGCATGATTTTACTGACATTTAAATCACTGTTATTAAATCAAATTGATTTAAAGATATTAACTTCTCATATCTGATCTAAATAGTATTACTTATTATTGAACCATATGAGGCTTCACATTCTGTGTCTTATAATAAAAGGAAAAGGAAGTTGACTCTGGAAGTTCAAGCTCTGTGATGCAAATACTGCTGCTCTTCGGTTTTAAGTTTGCATACTGGGAATAATCAAGAGATCACTACCAGATGAGAAACAAAGATGGTTTATATGGTAAAAGGTTGCAAACAGAGTGGTGAGGGATTCTAATAGAAAAGCTTTTTTATTCACACATTGAAAGTGCAGATGTTTTATGTGCCATTGAAGGACTGTAAGAGTGAGCTGAAGTTACAAGGTTTGAGTTGAGGGGGTTGGGGAGAACCAGACCCACGATACAGTCTATGGAGAGACTTGGTTAGAGTTATAAAATTTAATTTATTCAGACCCGAAACAAATCCCCTGAGCCTTCAGTCACTTTAAACTAATTAAAAACAAATTTGGCCAAAGGATTGAGGACGATTTAAACATAAGAGTAAACTACAACCTCCAAAGTTCTCATAGAGTTGAATAATTGATTCTTTTGATTAAAACAGGTCATTGGATCCTTCATGCAGGGAGGACTTGTTACAGGACTGCATGGTTGGCTCCAGCTGAGTGCTCCTGACAAACTGGTTCAGGACGAATCACTAAAGTTATGATGGATGCTGCCTTTACGTCTCCTCGAAAATTGGATTTTCTCGGTACTTCAGTGCCCATAATATAACGAGAATTAGAAAACACACAACCATTTTACATTATTATTTCGACCAAGTTTCTTTCTTTTATACTCTTATATCAATGCGTTGACTCGACTCCAACGTGTTTCCTTTAGCTTTAGACGTATCTCTGTTCCCGATGCCACCAAACCTCCGACTCTTTAAATGCACATGAACACAGCAGCGCCTGGAGCTAAGGTTAGCATTTCCTGTAGTGTTATGAGTGGAGCAGGACGGAAGGTAAAAGCTATTAACGATGCACAACTTGAGTTTTATCGTCTGTCACATGTCTGTGGTGTATTTCTGAAACACGTAGGATCACATGGTGGTCCAACAATTCTGTATTTATCGTCAGGAACGTCACTCGACGACAGATATTTCAGCTGTGCACTTGTTGTAGCCCAGCTAACGTTAGCTAGCGTCGACCCTGCTAATGCCAAGTAGTTAAAGGGATGTTGCTAAGCTTAGCTAACGTTAAACCTGTAGTCAAGTCTTAACTCAGTACATTCTGCTACTAAATACTTTACTAAAGTGTCACCTACTTGTACCTGAGTATTGTCTTTCCATGCTACTTCCTACCTGTACTGCACTGTATGTCAGGAGAATACTGTACTTACTGCTCTGACAGCTGTTGTTACCTTACAAATATACTGAACATATAATATATCAAACTTTGTGATGAATTAAATAATCTAGTAGTCAAAATGAGCTGAAACAATTAGTGAATTGCTTTAATAAATAGCCACCTACATAAACGTTGTTTTTACTTGAATACATGACTAATACTAATAATTATATTGGGTGTCTTACAAGCAGGATCACGAGAAGAACATGATTTAGGTGTAGATGTGTGTATTACCATGAGAAAATGTGTGCTCTCTGAAGTAAGAGAAAATGAGGAGGGAGAAGATTACAAGATGCCAAAATACCAATCCCAACACCTCTTGGATGAGATTCACTGTAAATGAATCTGTTGTTATTCTGATAATGTATTGATAATTTGTAATTAATTTCTTTTAGACAAACGTAAACATATTTAATGACTAGCTTATCAAGGATTCCATGCTTTTTTGATAGTAAACTTAATATTTGATGGGGTATTTCTTGTGACTGAGAATTGATAATATAATCATCAGATTATTGAGTGATGAAATGCTTGCACATATTGAATCAGAAGGGAGGAGATTATAGCCAGACAGACAGAGCAATTTACTTTTGGCAGTTACAGTTGTTATACTTGGTGTGGCCTCCACAGAGCCTTGATCTCACGTCATGTAGTCAGTGTAAAATTTCATGAAGAAGACAAGAGACAGTAGAAACATCTATTGAGGAATAAAAGCATTACATGGAATTCTTTTTTAAAGCATCCTCGCGCTACTTTTAATCCCATAAATGTTTGCACAGTACTGTGTGTGGAAGTGTTAACTTAATGTTTCAGCTGTTCTCACTATTGTGTTATCTTATCTCCTCTGTGTGCAGAGCTGGGAATGCAGCCTCCGCTCCCACCCGAAGCAGTCAGAGAGCTGGTGTGCTCCTGTCTGCACAGAGACCCGGTCGCAGCAGACCTCCGCTGCAGCCTGTTTGTTGCTGCTGTGCAGAACTACAAGCGGGACTCACTGCTCAGACCCTTCCCACCAAGATACCTAAGTGGTGACCATAAGGACTTTGAGGAGCTGGTAGGAAACTTTTATAGCTTCTGAACAATTTTTACCAACGTGCATTTTAAACAACTTTTTAAACACCAATTCTTTGTTATTGTCAATGAAGCAACAACTACTTCAAGTAAACTCAAAATTCTGTGACATTTGTAGTTTTCTTTTAATAAGGCTGCATAGGCACACAATGAGAATGGCAGTGGCATGTTACTCATGTACACTTGGTGGCAGTAATGTGCTGTTAAAGGTGGCAATGTGTCAGTAAATAAAGGTGAACAACAAAAGCAACAAGACACATTTAAAACAAGTAGTTGAGTAAATGTTTCAAATATATAAACAACACAAATGGTGGAAATATGGATGTCACTATACTAAAATGTTGTTGTACAGATACCATGAAATTTCCACGATTCTTAATACCCAATTCAGTATCATGGCAGAACAACAACAAAAAACAATAAAACTAGAGGCAGCGCATGCAATGTTCTAACACACACACACACACACA